AGAGCCAGTTCTGTCCTTTTCTTCTTTCACTTACCATAGAACATGGTGGTGCTCGCTAATACACTGTTCCCTGTATTTATTCATCCCTTTATTCCCTTATCTAACTAAAAGAATTGCCATTAAAATGAGATTTTATTCATACGGCAAATTCTATTAGCATACAACTAATCAAAAATTTTGTGTGGGTCTGACATGAGGTGATCATTTGTTTTTATTGACATTTTCATTTTCATTCAGCAACTACACACAATAAACACCAGTCTGTCAGAAATCACACCACAGAAAAACACTGCACATCATGTGACTTAACCGAAGCACATTACTGGCTACACTAAGTCTTCTTTTTCCCACAAAAAAATAGAATGTTGGTCTTAAAGTAACAGTGGCAGGGAAATGAACATAAATACCATGTTGCCATATGGCAACACCATGCGGTAGAGGTTAATTTTAAAGCACATTTATAAAAATTACTTGAATGTACTAATTGATCCATGGCCTAATCCTCTTTTTAATTCCTCTCTGTGAAACCAGGAGCAAGAGTTCCCACACTTTTACTCAAGTAACTTTTAGCAATGCACAGGTATATCGTTTTCTGCAAATGTGGACATGCGATTCATTGACTGCTATATAGGTAAAAAGACTGGCTGAACCAATGATACATTTGAAAAGCATAATTACACATAGCAATTTGAAATATAAGGCAGGGTAATGTACTACTTTTGTAGGCCTGCTGCTGAAATAACTGCAAGCAGATGATACTGGTCGCCTCATACCATTAAGTTACAAATGGCTGCACACATTCTAACTTTAAAAGTATAGATATAGATGTAGTGATTTTTAAACCACACTGAACTGAGCCAAACTGAACTGAACTTAAACACTAAAAAATTGACTATGAAAAAACTATTTACTATGATCTTTTATGTGAAGCTGCTTTGACACAATCTACTTCGTAAAAGCGCAACACAAATAAAGGTGACTTGAATTGAATTGAATATAGACACATACTAAAACAGAGCTGTCTTATCATGTTCCTGGATGGCCCCTATCCTATAGTTATACTCTAACTCCAATTAAGCACACATGACCCAATCAAATTAATGTATTTGCTGGGTATGTGTGCTAAACATAATAGAGCTTATGGATGTCAGCCTATAAACTTATAGGTTTGGAAAGCTCTTCCTTAAAAATATTACATTACCTAAGAAAAAATATACGCTAAAATAATGAAATTAATCAAAATGAGTTCGTTTAAATGTTATTTTGTGTCCAACATGTCCTTACAGAGCCAGTATATGGAGAAAGATGTTGTGATATAACAAAAACTATTTTTATTAAACAAAGAGGAGTCTGTTTACTCATAAACTCAAGGTTAGTTGGGGTCGACCAACATAACAAACTGGAACAATTGGCTAACCTATCTTTAAATGTCCTGGCCTACAGAATTTGACAAAAATAAAATACAAATGTCAAAAATGCAAGGTTTTACTATCTGCCTCAGGAACATTTGTCCACATAATGTAGGCAAATTCTCTGAGCTGTACAGACACAGACACACACACATGCACGCACGCACGCACGCACACACACACACACACACACACACAAAAAATATTGACATTTTTTTAATTTGTTTTTATTTAATTCCGTTAACTAACTACCTAACTAACTAAATGAGTCAATTTCAATATATAATATAATATAATTTAATATTATATTATATTATATTATATTATATTATTTTATATTATATTATATTATATTATATTATATTATATTATATTATATTATACTTATTTCCTCTGGCACTAAAAACAAACAAAGTCGTCTAATCTAGCATCTTATACAATTTTGTTGGTATAGAGCAGAGATGCCCAAACCAGGGTTCGCTGGCCAAAGTTGGCCCATGGTAACCTTTCATTTGGCCCGCCATCTCATCTGAGAAGAGTGGAAGAATGATGGAGATGGTTTAGAGAATGTCTCTAGATTGTCAAATCTAATGTAACATTTTGTTTTATTGTTAAAAGCTAACTAAAATTTTATGTTTAATTGGAATATTAAATGAATAAGATTTAGTTTAAATATACATACTGTGTTCTGATGGCTAGAGAACAATGCAGAGACCTTGGTGAACAAATCAAGGCAAAAGCAAATTCTGCTTGACTAGTGGATTCAGCATTGGATTTTTATATAAAAAAAGGTTTGGGCACCCTTGGTATAGAGCTTTTATATCTCTCACTTTGCATCACATTGTGTCCTATATGATTATATATGTTTTTATTTAATAGAAATATATGATTATACATATACATAATTCGAAAGCTTGCTAGTCCTGACAGCAAAAACGTCAACAATATTTATAATATTATATAATAAAATATAATATAATATAATATAATATAATATAATATAATATAATATAATATAATATAATATAATAAAATATAATATAATATAATATAATATAATATAATATAATATAATATAATATAATATAATATCACACACTGTTTTTATAATATTTAAGTTTACTGGATGTCTAAACTAAGCCTTTTATCACCAACCCATCTAATCTTGAGACAAAAAGGGATTTGCGATACTACTGGTTTCCGATCCGATACCAAGTAAAATGTAGGCGAGTATTGGCTATACCAATCAGATACCAATACTTTGCCCAAAAATGACTGCTTTGGAAATTAAATTAATAAGAAGTGTACACATTTTACTCCAAGCTGAACTATTGCAAACATTTGGCCATTTAATTATTTCTTTATTTATTTCATAACCAAAAATCTAAAACAAATTTGTTTTAAGAATTCAGGGAACTGCCTTTCTTCCTCTGTACCTGTATAGTGCCTGCCTGCTGCACCTAAGGACTTGAAAGTGATGTCTGTCTCGCCCTAGCAGCACCTGTGTCTCTCCTTTCCTCCTCTTCTGACCGCCTAGTCATGGCATTGTCATATTTTGTCTTGTGATTTATATGTAGATGTTTGATTAGGTTTGTGGTATTACCACAGTACCTCGCGTTTTTTGTTACACGTGTCACAAAATTGCATCATTTGACTTTATGGAAGTGAAGTAGCTCCACACATATTGTAACTTCACTTGCGGTCACCCATATCCAATGACAGCATGACTGAACAACATGTGCCAGCGACTGAGTGGCTAGCTAGCATGCTCTGCAGTTGTACAGTGCCATATTACGCACATGACTTGGCAGGCGGAAGAACAAGTAGTTCCGTCTATGTTGGCATTATTCAGATAAACCAGGGTAATTGAGGTTACTTTCTGCCGTATTTCTATTTCCAAAAAATTACACATTTGCTCCAAATTACTGAAATATCGATATTTTGTTAAGATAAACAATTCTAGAATATACAAAGCTGGTATTGGAGATAGTATCGATCTGCAAATCACTATTAGGAATCAAAAGCTATCCCATATCATATTATATTCATATTTTGACACAATTCAGCAACACACCTTAAAAGAGCCAACAAAGCATGGATTTATTGTGCATATTTTGGTACTGAAATGCAAACGCTCCGTAGAAATGTAACTAGCATGGGTAAATACATACATGTACTTGCAAGAAAAACAAACAATCCCTTGTTGTCATTGATTCCTTGAGGAAGAATATATCGCATTAGGTCTGATTGTCAAGAACAACAAAAACAACATGTCGCATTTCTGAGATCCCAAAAAAAAAAAAAAAACAAATTAAAGTGCATACATTACCTAAGAACCTACAGACAGGATACAATAGACAGAAAGTTAAAAAAAAATCTCATTATATGCTGAGAAACATGCATTACGTTTATGATTAGAGAGGACAAATACATATATAAAAGTATTCCTGCTTAATAAACACTTTAAGGCACAGTGCAGTAAACCATCAGGTCATAGAGGCAGTTATAGTGAAACATATACATATAGAGAGCACAGCCTATTATCTTACCATGAAAAAACTGCTAGAATAATATCTGATGGTCGACAAATGCCAGTCCAGTCATTCTCTGGTCACATATTTGCTACTAAATGTGACCACAGAGGGGACAGAATTGCTATATTTCCCTTATGGTTTGATTAATTCCAGCTCACTCCAAATAAATAAGTCTATTCTATTCTATTCTATTCTATTCTATTCTATTCTATTCTATTCCATTCTATTCTATTCTATTCTATTCTATTCTATTCTACTATTATAAAAATTCCAGTTAACAAGTACATATTATACCTGATATTAAAAAAAGAGAAGCTATAAACATTGGAATGGCTATTGAGACATAAGCACAGACATCTGCTGTCAAAAACGATGAACAAAACGACAATTTGGCATAAGCTTTAAGGCAAATCAATAAGGCCGCTCAGGCTTACAAACAGATAGAGGCTTCGAAATGATATTTCCACAAAGGCAATCAGTCGTCAATGTTTTCTTCTTCACAAGGAATAGATACTTCATTTAACCACACACATTAAGTGCAGCCGAATGATGAAATGTAAGAAAAACATGAAGGCAAAAGTGAGACGTGCGCACCTGCATTCACATACGCATACATCCAAGATTAAAAATAAAATAAGAGGAGGATATGATTCGGAATTATGCATGCGTCTGGTTATTTGGCCTGCAAAGTGACTGATTTGTGACCAGACATGTTTTGAAGATTGACTTGGAAACTTGTGTGTATGAAGAAAGACCTCAAACTGCGCTTAACTGTAATAATTTAAAGAGCTACATCGAGTAAATAAGAAAGCAAAACAAATAAGAAACAAGGAGACAACTTGGTCCTCAATAGCACACGCTTTGTCTCGGCAGGATGTGCTGATAAATTCTGAAGTGCACTTGTTTTTTTTCTTCCCTGTGCTTTTTAGGCTAGTTATTAGACCCCCGTGGAAACGAAACAAGCAAGGTTTGGTGAGTTCTGACGGCCTCAATGTCGAGTGAGTGCACACAAAGTTCATTTGATAAGTCGGTGTTATCAGAAGCAGATCTTTCTGTAAAAAATTTGGTCCAGTTCATGATTGCTGTGGTCTTCCTCCGAGGGACCCTCAGCTGCTATGCGTGGCTGTGGACGGAGATGCTGGAGAGATCGTTCCTGATGATTTCGTTAACTGTGAAAACATTTGGAGAAAATGGTTACTTTTTAGCCTACGCCCAAAACAAACAATTCATCCGCAGCAGAAATACTGGAGAATGTGATAAATGCCTGGACAGCAGCTGTAGGAGAGTGAGCTATCTATAATGTGTGGGTGATTTAGATGGATATGGTTCGGCAACAGCCTGAAATGCTTCTTGTTTAACCCTTATGTGCTGTTGGGAATGTTTTCATTCACTCTGGGGTGATTTTGAGTCTTAATTTGGCCATAACTTTTTCTGTTTCAGCTAGCGGAATGATTTTTGGTGGCAATTTTGACACATATTTTGAGAAAAAAAAACTCAACAATACACTTTGGGCAAATGTATTACATTTTTTTTTTATGTTCAGGATGAAAACATCCACTAAAATAAACTGCTGTAAAACTGCATTAGATATTTATTTTATTTAATTTTTTTGCATAAAGCTGTTAATCAACCTTCGTCCTGATCAAAACTACTGAATTGCTTAGAAAATTACAGATTTTTCAGTACAATGTGCTTTTACAGACATAATCAAAGCCAAGTTTTACAAAAAATGTGGAATAGGTTATAGAAATTATGGTAATGCTAAAAAAAAAAGAAAGTAAATAAGTCAATACATAGATGGAGGTAAGGAAAAAAAAGAGGAAGAAAAGGGAAACATTATACCATCAATAATTACTAATATTGGTGAGAAATTAGTCACAAAGTCTCTGGAAAGGCACATAAAACAAAATATATTTTTTTACACATCACAGCACATTCCTACAGTATAATATAGACATGTCATTAAAAAAAGAACATTGGAACAAAACAAAAGAGAAAAAAAATAACAAACAAGCAACAAAAGACCATTCCATGTGATCCTCCCACAACCCTTTCCCCCCTAAAAAAAGCAAAAAAACAAAACAAAACAAAAAAACTAATTGACACACAAAACCATTTCTCTCACATGTGAGGGCAGGTGATCTAAAAAAGGAATCCATATTTTTTGAAAACTCTGTTTGTTATCATTAAACACTGCTGCAAGCTTCTTATGGGGCAAAACTGCAAAAATCTCTCTGTGCCATTGTGTCACAGAGGGGGGAGTGTTTTTTATCCATCTAATAAGGATGAATTTTATTGCCACAAGCAGTTCATCTAACAGTTTATAAACTTTTGTGTCAATTTCATACGCAACAAAGTTCCAGAACCTTGAAATGAATTTGCACTTCCAGAATCAATGAAAGTATGTCCCTAACTCTGTATGACACTTTACACAAAGAGCTGGTATAGAAGCATCCATTTTATTCAATAACACTGGGGTTATATGCAGCCTATGTAAAATCTTAAATTGAGTCTCTCTCTCAAAAATCTTTGTATTTTGTAATTTGAGACTTTGTATTTTTGCACCGTCAAATGTGGTTATAATGGAAGACAATGGGGCACAAACAGCCACCAACAGTAAATTAGGCAGAAAAATGAAAATCTAACAATGCATCAAAGCCAATGCTGTTAGTAATTATTATTTTGTATGCTTTTTTTCACCAAACCAGTGATATAATTTGTCAAATTGCCAATTAAAGAGTTAAAATTCTGTAATTTTCAGAGCAATTTAGTAGTTTTGATCAGGATTGAGGTTGATTAAAATATTTATGCAAAAAAAAAAATGATATTAATCTGATGCATTTTTACAGCAGTTTAATTCAGTGGATGTTTTCATCCCTAACATAACAAAAGGGTAGTACATTTGAACGGTGCTCAAGGGTTAATGTACAGATGTTTGAGATGCAATGATTATGTGTGATTTCAGTAGCTTTTTTTTTTTTGACACGTGTGAATGTGCACTTGCCTTGGGTCAATAAGAATTTTTTGTTAATGTTTTTGATGTGCATTTATTTTTGCTTGATCTAATGTGACTGAAGCACAATAACAGAAATAATTTACATTTGAAATTGAGAAACCACTAGAGCTGAAAAGCTGAATAAATATTGATACCTTTTTTAGGATAGAGACATTTGGCCTAGATAAAACTATTTGAAATCTGAAGGGTTAAAAAATAAATGAGAAAATTGCCTTTAAAGTTTCTAAACGAAGTATTGTAATGCAGATTACTAAACAAAAATTGAGTTTCTATATATTTACTGTAGGAAATGTGCAAAATAACTTCATGAAACATGATTTTTACATAACAATACATTTTTTAGTAACACTTTAGTTTAAGTAACAATTAACACCATTTCCAACTGGATTATTACCTGCCTATTATTACAGTATTGACTGTCTATTATTATTACTACGTAATCCTACCCAATACCCAAACCCAACTACTAATAAGCAACTAGCTTTGTTAATTGAGCGAAGTGTGACCAAAATCTTTTTAGGCATACAATAAAAAAAAATGATAATTTTGACCAATAAAATATCATTTTGGCTATTGCCAAAAATAAAGCAATGCAAAATAAGGTTTGCTAATTCATGGTTATTTTTTTCAGCATACTTAGAACATGAAATGCTAGAAAAGAAAGAGAAAAAATGTAAAAAAAATAAATAAATTGACACTTTTATCCATTGAATGCATATTTTGTATAAAAGTATTGATTTCTTTAAAAAAATCTACCTTTTGTGTGCACACATTCAAATGAGGTGGTTAATATGCCTACAGTTCATTCAAAATATTCAACAAGAAACAGAACTATTAACTAATTTTACATCTGTATTGTGTCTAATTTGTGCAAAAAAGTGCATTACCCCTAATGCTGTACAGAAAATTGCACCAAAGATTGAATCAGAGTGCCAATAAAAAACGTATTTCAAAATATATATTAAGCTCCCCCCACTTTTATGAATATTGCAAATTTAAATAAGTAGGTTTGTATTTCTCTGCAAAGCAATGTTTGCTGTGTAAAACCAGCACTGCCTAATAAAAAAGGGCAGAAAACAATTGTATCCACAGGGTTAATCAGCTATAGATCAGACCCCAAACCCTAAAAGCAACCGTCAAAGTAATGTAAAAACATAACTGGATCTGGAGTCTTCTCTATTAGTATAGCTGATTAACCATGTGGATGGATGATGAACAGGCTTCTGAGCCTACCAGTAGTTGCAGAAGCCCCCTACTGGCCCATATCTATCAGCTGATAACCACCGATAAACCATATTCAATCAAGTGATAACATTCGAAGTGGGTGGGAAACATTCATACACTCATTCACACATGCACCTATACTGATTAAAACATATTCAAAAAATGTATTTGGGAAGCAACAGTTGGCCATATTCCCCCTCAACTTGAGTTGAAACAGCCCAGCACTCTTTAGAGTGTAAGAGTCTAGTATCAAATCTCCTTTATTCATTTCTACATAAACAGCACCTGACACCCTGAACACAACAGCAATCAATACAAATGCCATAAATAAAAGTGAATCCAATCTCCCTGAGTGGCTTCCCTCAGCCTGAGAGTGAGAGGCATCCAAAGATCTCATGCCCTCTTTCGGAGGATCCCGCAACTCCAGCTGTCCGCTATCTTCCTGCCCTCTATCTGTCATTGTATTTTCCCACACACTGGGACTCTGGCTCCTTCTGTCAGCTGTGTTCTTTGGCTCCGGCATGGGAAGTGACTTAGCATGGCTTCGGGCTACACAAACAGCCTGGCACTCACTCGCTGTGTGATAGCAGGGGAAACCGGATGAGGCTGCCTCTTAGAGTTAGCATGTTAGCATATTAGCGGCAGACATATTATCTTACTTGCAGGCCCACAGGGAGCATTGTATGACCAACACACAGCACACTGCACTTCCCTAAATGTCTGTGTTTCAGTTTTCGACCCTTCAGCGAGGTTTATTGCAAAACATTTGAGCCTTTTAAGCACTGAGAGGAGCTATTTGCTTTCACGTTTCTTTGCTAACAGCTCTTAAACCTCTGAGGGCTGTAGATAGGCAACCGTATCGGTTTGCTCTATCTGTTTCAAAACAGCGCATTCCTCTTCCCTTACGATCGGCACAGACCGCTTTAGTTGGCCTTTGAATTCTTCAGCACGAACGTAAGCACCTGCAGGAAGCATTTGATAACTATTAGACAAGCTGCGTGTGTTTTTCTCATTTGTGGTGAGGAGTATCATCCTTAAAGAAAATTCTGCATTTTCTTCTTGCCTTCCAGCATTTTAAAGTCATAGTTTTCTTTATAACAAATGTAATGGAATATGTTTGTCAGATAGGTTAAGCCAATATATTGGCATGTATTTGGTAATTTTAAGAGAAGTCTTCTGATAAACCCTTATTGTTTTCATAATATGTATTTGAAATTAAGCCTGAAGAAAATAACATTCATTCATTCATTCATTTTCTTGTCGGCTTAGTCCCTTTATTAATCCGGGGTCGCCACAGCGGAATAAACCACCAACCTATCCAGCATCTTTTGATGCAGCTGATGCCCTTCTAGCCGCAACTTATCTCTGGGAAACATTCACACACACTCATTCACACTCATACACTATGGACAATTTAGCCTACCCAATTCACCTGTACCACATGTCTTTGGACTGTGGGGGAAACCGGAGCAACCGGAGGAAACCCACGGGAATGCAGAGAGAACATGCAAACTCCACACAGAAACACCAACTGATCTAGCTGAGGCTTGAACCAGCAACCTTCTTGCTGTAAGGCAACAGCACTACCTACTGCGCTACTGCGTCACCCAAGAAAATAACTTTTTCTTATTGTTAGAGCTTGAAAATGTCAAGTTTTTTGACACATTTTGTTATTTTTTTGGATAAATTTAAAACACAAGTAGTAATATGTATACCATGTATGGCGTTTCAGCTTTATCACCACTATTTTTCTGTATATCTTGATTTGAAATTCAAAATTCACTACCATTCGAAATGCCGTACAATAATATAATACTTGCTACATTCAAGCAAATTTGAGATAACATATTAAAAACTTCATTTATTCATTAATTTTCTTTTCGGCTTAGTCAGTTTATTAATCTGGGGTCGTCACACGGAATGAACCAC